CCCATATTAAACACACACTCAACCTTCAAAAGCCTGCATAAGAGGAGCTTGGACTTCAGAAGCCTGTGAAATGACATTAACAGCTGCCCAGAGACTGAAGCTCTTAACCCTCTCTGGAACGCACAAGACTTCAGCTCTTCCTCCTGCCTCCAAAACACACACACACACACACACACCATGCCTTCCCAGGGCTGCAATGTCTCACACCTGCTCAGAACCCATCCTGTGTTCTCCCTGTGACCGCCATCAAGGCACCTCACCCTCGTCACTCTGGACCCCTTCCCGGGTAACGCCGTCTTCCCTGTCAGCCTCCCTGATCCTTCGGTTACCAAAGACGTCCCACCCTCTGGGCAATGGGGGATGGGGCTGTCCTCATCCCACCCTCCCTGTGTCCCCCTTGGTTTTACGGGCCCCAAAGCCCACCCTTCCACAAAGGGTCTCATGAACACCACTTCATGTGGTCCCACCTCCCTCCACCAGGAGTTACAGGAAGCTGGTGAGAGAATGGCAGCCATGCTGTCCTCTCTCTCTCCTTCCTCGTCCTCAGGGAATCCTTGAACCCACAAAAAAATAGTCTCCTGTCCTCTTTCCACCGAAGATCAAAAGTCCACGAGAGCGCTGGTTCACGCTGACGGGCATACTTGAGCAGGAAGAGGTGTCATCCTCACAGAAATTGTATTTCAGCCCCCATGCAAACCCAGCCGGGAGCCTTTGTTCTGCTTCACATATTTCTTTTTAATGAAGGTGCATCAGACGGATTTTTCGTTTCGAGAATTTTTCAGGAGTGTGCTTACCGCCCTCGCAGGGACCCGGTATCACACGGACCACCGCTGATTGGGGATCACTTTGCCTTTGTATTCAGCCCCTTCCAGGCACTCCAGGCACCTCGGAGATTGAGTTGAACTGACTCAGTCTGTTTTTGTGAATTTCAGAGAGGATTTACTGACTGCTCAGAAGGAAATCCTGTCTCAGCAGGAGATCATCATGAAGTTAAGGAAAAACCTTAACGAAGCCCACAGCCGAATGTCCGATTTGAGAGGTGCGTACAGTTGCCTGTGTCTCCTGATGTCCTGACCCACTTCAAGAAAGGAAAGAAATGGGGCTTAAGGGTTGGGAAGCCGGCCATTAAAAATCCCACTCAACCTGCTTTCCAGGCTGTTACCACACTTGAAACCCAGGGTCAGCCAACACTGTATCCCAGGTATGGCGCTGATTCTGTTTGATACGGGGCATACTCTCGAATGGCTCTGGACCTCTGGGTGGAAGTGCAAAGTTCTTTTGGGGGAAGAATTTCCTTTTTCCACAGAGGATGTGTCTTTGGGAACAAAGGCTTGGAGATCAATCCGTGGGCCCCCCTTGGCAGGCCAGCCTGCACACGCCCGAGCCTGGGGACCTAGAGTAAGATGTTCCCCCCCAGCCTCTCCTTCCCCTGACGCAAGAACACTTGCAACACATCTGCCCCCTGGAGTTGATGTGGACACCAGGGGCCACCTGGAGCAGGGGCGAAAGAGCTCTGGGTCTACTCTCTTCTGGATGGACATCGGTCTGGCTGAATAGTCCTGCTTTCCTCCTCTTCTCTTCTCCCCAAACTGTTCTTTCTGCCTCCCTTCCCCCTGCTTCTTACCGCTGACATCTCTGTCCCACCCCTGGCTTCCATCAAGCCAGAAGGCACAGGGAGCCAGGAGTCGGGAGATGTTCCCAGGCTTGGGGATGCGGAGGGAGGGTGGGGAGGGCTCTTGTCTCATCCCCATCTCATACCCTGTGCCTCCCAAGGCTTCAGCAGTATTCGCTCCCTAGGTCTGGACTTGTTAGCGACCCCAGGGCTTTTATGGCAGAATTTTTCAAAAATGAGTGACTTTTTCCCCCATACTAAGGTATGAGAACAAGTGGTAGAAAGGCTACAATATCCAGTTCTAGAACCAGGCAGTGTTAGACCCACTTCTGGATCTGCTGTTTCTTAGCTGGGTGACTTTAGGCAAGTCACTGAACCTCTCTGAACCTCAGTTTCTGCCTTTGTGATGTAGGAGTCTTAACTAGTAACTGCCTTGCAGGGTTGCTGTGATGATTCCAGGCAATGCAGGTGTCTTAGTTTGCGTTTTCCCAGAGCGGATCCCAAGACTAAGATTCTGCTGCAGGTGGTTTATTTGAGAGATGATCCCAAGACACAACAGCAGTTAAATGGGAAAGGGAAGAAAGCAGATGATGGCTGGGCTGTCAGCCAGCGGGCACAGTGGGCGACCGGAGCTTAATTCTGCAGGGGATGCTGGGAGCAGCGTGGTCACCTGTGTTGGGTGCCCACCGGAGGTGGGAGGGGCTAGACTGTGTTCTCACCTCCCCTGTCCTTGGCTGGAGGCTGTTTCACCTGGCAGACTCCTGAGCAGAGCAGGCTCCAGAGACCTTAGAACACCTTGAGCAAACAAATGCAGAAGCAGGCAGCTGAAGGTCGCCAGGTGCCCCGAAATGCCACAGGCAAACAGGCCCTACCAGCTGGGCTTGGGCAGGAGCACAGACCGCCTCCTGGAGCCAGAGCTCAAGAGAAGGTGATGCTGGTGCGCTCTGTTGCTGTTTTGTTGTTGTTGTTATTATAGTTTTTTCTTTTTTTTGCAAAGATGCAAGCAGACCTCCTGGCCATGGTCTGAAGACCCCCGAGAATTCCCAGCTGGTGGACCTGCCTCATGGTTTTTGTAGGTCTGGCAGGTCTGCTGCAGCCCTAGGGGAGACCCAGAGTGGGAGACCCACCCCCCACCCTCACCATCTTTCATGTCGCTCCCAGGGGAGCTTAATGAGAAGCAGAAGGTGGAACTGGAGCGGAATGTGGCGCTGGTCCAGCAACAAAGCAGCGAACTGAATGTGCTGAAGGAAAAGATGGCACAGGTGACCAGCCTGGTGGAAAAGAAGGACAAGGAGCTGGAGGTCCTCAAGCAGGCACTCAGGTGTGTGGGAGGGTCTGAGTGGCACGGGAAGCCCAGGCACACCCAAGTGCCCAAGGAGCCTTGCACAGAGAGAGGGGACCTAGTCAATGCTGGTTGAGAAATTGAAGGAGTGAATAGATGAATGAATAAATGACATAGGTTTCATTGCTTCACAATGTTATCATTCAAAACAAAACAAGGCTTTGCTCAGTCCTGTGTATCTCAGACATTCCTGCCCAATATTCCAGATAGAGCTCAACTTAAATGCCACTTCCTCCAGGAAGCCCTCCATCTCTCACCCTCACCAAACATAGCCAGGGGCTTCTGCTCTGCTTGGGGTCCCTCAGCCCTGGCACTCCACTTGACCTAAAGCTACTCACACAGCCAGGCTGCTACTGCCTGTTGAAGTGTCTGCTTTCCCCACAAGGAGCCCTGTGTAGACCATGCCTACTGTTGACTCCCCAGCATTCACATAGTGCCTTGCATATAAAGGAACTTCCTAAATATTGATTGAACAAATGTATAAACAGAAAGTGTCAGAAGTCCACTTAAAATAAATATATTGTTGTCCCATGGATTCATCTAAAAAATACATGTGAGTTTGCATTTTCATCAATAGCGTATCCATATTTTGACATAAGATTAATGTTTTTCCCAAGAAAGTTTGAGTAAAACGACATCTCACATATGTGCTGTAGCTGCTACCCATGCCTCATGGCTCATGGCCAAGGCCGACTCACCTAGTGGTTAAGGGAACGGCTCTGGACCCAGGCTGCCTGGGTTCAAGGCCAGGTGCCTTCACCACAAGCTCTGGGACCACAGGCAAATTGCTACGTGTCTCTTTCATTGTCAGTAGAATGGGGCAAAGAGAGTCCCCAGCCCCTGGGACCGTGATGAGAAATAGACGGGTTCACACGCACAAAGTGTTAGGAACAGCAGCCCCTCAGTAAATCCCCCTATATGTGCCACAGCAGGTGTCCTGCAGACCCAGGGCTGGAAGCAAGGCTGGGTAGGTGTCTTCCTCCCTGGCCACTACCCGGTAAGTCCCTGGAACTAAATTCTCTAGAAATCTTCAGGCAGGAGGCTTAAAGACTTGAAGACTTCAGCTACCTGCAAAAAGGGAGCGCCTTTTCCTATTCTGCTTGGGTGGGTACAGAGGTGATCCACAGCCCCCAGAACATTGTGCTCCTAACCCAGCCTGCTGTCCAGTGACTCCTCTTCTCTGCCCTAGGGCCTCCCAAGAGAAACACAAGCCCCAGCTGCACAAAGAGAAGGACCAGAAGCCCAGGAACACGACCCAGATGTGTGACATCTCAGTGCAGATAGAACCAATCCACACCGACATTTTCTTGAGCAGCCAAGAGGTGAGTGCCTGCCCTGTCCTGAGCGCCCAGAAGGACAAGCTAAGAAAGAGCCCCATGGTAGCTTTCTTTGCTTTTGAGAGCATCTTCATTCTAAGTTCCAAAAATATTACTTGCTTCGGTGAAATGCGTGAAGTAAAAAAGCGGAAGTCCTGCCTCTCAAATTGCAGAGGTTTTGGCAAAGAACAGCTTGGCATTTGCGCCATCAGACCCTTTCCTCACAGAAGCCGCCACAGCCTCATACATTCAGGACCGGGCAGTGGCTGAAGCTCAGGCTGGATCCTGTCTGCCTAGATTCCAGCCCCAATTCCTCCACTCAGACCCTGGGGACGTGCCTGAGGGCCAATTCCCTCATCTGGAAAGTGAGAATATTGACAATCACCATCTCATGGGGTCATTGAGAAATAAATTTTATTTATACACACAGACATGCACAAACTTAAATAGACATACATTTATTTAATAGATTTTTTTTTGCAAATGGTGGTATCAAGCCATATGTATTCTGCAACCTTCCTTCCCCACATAACACTATTTAATGGGCATATTTTCAAGTGAGCGTGTAAAGATCTACCTCATTCTTTTAAATGGTGACGTTGAATTCCATCGTGTCCTTTTTATCCAACCAGCCTTGTGATGATGGACATTTAAGTTGCTTTTACTTCCAGCCATTGCTGTAGTTAATATCCTTGTACATACGTAGAACAGATTCCTAGATGTCCAGAGGACGTCCTCCGTTGTCCAGACTGCCTTCCCAGAGAGCCGGGCTGTTTATGCTGCCTGGCTGGCTCTTGGTGATCTCTGCCCAGAAAGATGCCTTTGCACGCCTGGAAGGCGGGCTGCGGGCACGGGGCTTCCTCGAGGCCCCCGGCTTTCCTGGAGTCCGGGGATGCCCTTTCCCCCTCTGCTTTACAAAACTAGAGAGTAGGACGTTTCAGTAATGGGCTTTGGATTTTCACTTGGAAACAGGGCCAAATGTGTCAGCTTGGCTTCCTCCTGCTCTCTCAAAGATGCCTTTCCCCTGCCAGACAGCAGTGAGCCAGGGCCCAGCCGGCCTTCCTTGGCACCAATCACCGTCCAGAGAACTTTAGCAGAAGTGTCTCCTTCTTGCTCCAGGCGGCCGGGCACAGGGGCTGCAGCGGCTTCCCTCAGCTGTGAGCTCCGAGGGGCTGGGACCAGGTCCCTCTCCCGTTGGAGAATCCCAGGCTCTCAGCGCAGGACCCGGCCCATGTTCGTTCACACATTCAACAACTGTTGAGCACCTGCTGTATGCCAGGCCCTGTGCTGGGTGCAGGAGAGGGTACCCAGAGTCCCTGCCCACACCAGACCCCCTCCGACTCTGCACGTGTTTGCTGGAAAGGATGGTTGACCGGACGCCCGTGGTTTTAGTTATGAGATGGGATTTGTTGAGGAGGATGGGGGAGGGAGGCTGAGGATAAAAGGGAAAAAGGATTTGTTCTTTCCCAGAGCGGCTTTCCGCACGCAGCCTGCTTCCTGCTTTCTAAACCAGAGTGGGTCAGAGGGCCTAAGAATTGTATGGGAAAGAATCTCCCTCTTCTCTAAATAAACAAATTCCCAGAAGAGCCACGAGGAAGGGTCACATCAGTGCTCTCCAGGCGGAGGAAAGTCTGTCGCAGAACTTCGCTGCTGTGGCTGCCCTACCCCCAAGGCCTGGAAGACACAGCAGGATTGGGGTAGAGTAGCATGAGGGAGGGGGCTCTTAAAGACAAGGTGGAGGGGGCTCTGCAGAAGGAGGTTGGAAGCAGAGCCTGGAGGAAATGCAGGTGGGGACATGTTGGGGTGGGGAGGAGCGGCCCTAGGAGGACCTCAGATGCTGGGCTCCTGGCCTTGTACCCCTGGTGGCCAGCGTGGGGCGTGGCACGTGTCCTGTGGGCCTTTAATAAGCATTTGATGAATCAAGAAACGGATCAAATAACTCTTCCTCCCCTCTCCTCTGCTGTGTTTTCCTGGTAGCATTTGTCACCTTCTGGAATTATTTGCCTGCCTGTCTGCTTGTTCGTTGCGTCTGCCCCGTAGGAATGAGGCCCCAGCAGCAGAGCCTGTCTGCCTGGTTCCCCTCCTCTCCCTGGCGCCTAAGATAGTGTCTGGGTGCCGGCTCTCTCTCTCTCCCTGAACCGAAACTGTTACAAGATTGTTGTAAAAGAAGCAAATCGACCATTTCTTCCCTTTCTTGCCATTTTGTCTGGGGCCTTTGCTAGAAGCAAGATCTGTATCTGAAAATCACTCCCAACATCCCATCCCATTTCCAGTTTCCCTCCTTGACAGCTGTCACTGCCCACCGTGTATTTTCCGTGACTATCTTATCGTCTGTCTCCTCCCACTAGGATGCAGACTCCTTGGCAGCAGGGATTTTGCGTCTTCGTCACAGCTGAGTCCCCAGGGCCTAGAACAGGGCATGGCACATAAAAGTGCTCAATAAATGTGCACTGCGATTCATTGTGAAGTGAATGAATGAGTAGTCACAGACCCTAGAGAAGCACTGTTTAATTTGGAGTCTATGACTGGGCTTCAGGGAGTCTCCCTGAACCTCCAGAAGTTGTATGCAAATTTTTGTGCATATGTGACTTTTTCTGGAGGAAGGAAGCCTGCACTCTTCCTAATCTCAAAGGGATGTCCGTGACCCTAAAAAGATGAAGGTGATCTCTCCTTGTACATGCCCTTTGTAAACCCACCTCTAGCTATGTGGCTACATGGTGCAGATATGGGACACTGCGATCATCACAGAAAATTCTGTCGGACCACACTGTTCCAGGGACTCCAGAAGTTCCAGAGGGGTGTTTTCCTTTCTCCACACCAGCCAAGAGCCAGACCATCTAATTCCCCCTAGCAAATATTTGACCACCATCCTTATTACCAGCTAAGAAGAGAGTATCGCTTATCCTCATCTGAAAATGCCCCTCCAGGAGCAGAATTTGATGTGATTGTTCAGAGACGAGACCAGAGTGACAAGTGGAAACCCAAGCTTAGAAGAATATGAGAAGAAAAAAATAAGTAAAATGTGGGGAGGGAACATGTAGAGGGTGTCTCTCATTTACAGTGATGTTAAGAAGGTGGGAAAGTTGGAAATTTTCCTAGATGTGACTTTACATTTGAAACGAAAATTTTAAATTCCTTCTCTACTGAAGCCCCTTAACAATATATTCCAAGGTACTAACCGACAGAGTTTCTGCTGTCCGTGAATTGTTCATGTTTCTTTGAATGTAAGAGAGAGATTCTGATCCCTAATTAAGCAGCTGTCTGCATCATTCTGGCCACAGGAGCAGTCCTTCAGCGATCTAGGGGCCAAGTGCAAAGGGTCCCGGCACGAGGAAGTCATTCAACGTCAGAAAAAGGCCTTATCTGAGCTACGTGCGCGAATTAAAGAACTGGAGAAGGCCAGCTCATCGAGTGAGTTTCCCCCCTTCCCAGTCGCCCCCTCCGCGCTCAGAGCTATGGGCCCCAGACTCTAGGTTTCCCTTTGGGGATTGACCGATTTGCCAGGACCACCGTCTTCTAAACCCATCATCTCATCACTGAAAGGAGGTCATAATACAAAAAAAAAAAAAAAAAGATGGGGCAGACATGATGTCTCAGTCACGGGCAGATGTTAATATTAAATAAATAATATTTCATGAAAAACTCACTATATTGTCCTTTTTCTCATTTTACTGTGGCCCGGTAGAAACTTTGTCACAGACTGACATTGTGCAAAGATTGACCTTGGGGAACTTCCTGTAATAAATACCCTGTTTAGAGGAGATAGGGCTCTCAAGAAACCAAGCTTCCTGCTGGGTGGAGCACGGGCTAGGACCCAGAAGCCTAGGTTCAAGTTACACCCCCACACCTGTGGCTGAAGGTTTACCCTCAAAGCCTCGGACCTGTGAGGCTGCAGTCTTATACTGGCTGTGTGTCCTTGGACAAGTCAGTTCACCTCTCTGGGCCTCAGTTCCTCGCCTGCCAAGGGAGGATGGTAAGGATGAAGACCGGCCCCTGATAAGCATCCAGTAAACAGCAGGGGTGATGATTACATACAATAACTTCTTCCTGAGCCTTTCTTTTGAGTCTAAATTATTTCTTTTATAGGTCATAAGGACCACACGAATGAACCATTGCTAGACATAAAGACTTTCAGATTGGATAAAAATGTCCAGAAAATACTGGATATACAACCTGATTCGCCAGGTGTTTCAAGAATAGAGATCCGAGCGGTAACCAAAGAACAAACTTGCCTCGTGGTGACTGACACGTGGGGAGGGTGGGCATGAAGGCAGACACTAGCTGTGTGCCCAGCACCGCCGTGCCTGGCCGTGGCTTGGGGCCAGGTCCTCCCTGATGGGCTAGCATCTATACTGACCAGCATCCCAGTGCTTGGCCGTCCGCGGTCCGATGTTGGAGTAGAAAGGCAGCGTCCCATTGTGCACAGCATGATGTGTCATTGCACTGACACTGGCCAGATCCATCTCGGGACCCTCCTTTTCACATCACGTGTTAAATTCTGCAAAACATATTCAACAGGCTAATTTACGCCATGAGTTTGCCAAAAGTTTGCTTTTTGCTGTAAACTGAATCACATGAACACATGAAGGGTAGCAGGAGGGAGCCATGATGATTAAGGGGACGCAAGGTCTAGAATCAGAGACCGGTTCCCTAATCCCAGCTCCGCAAGCTGTGTGACCTTGGGTGGGCTCTTAACCTTTATGGGACTCCCCTGCCCAGCTGTAAAATGATGATGGAAAAACTAAAGGAGATAATTATGTAAAGTGCTTATGCCAGTGCCTAGCTCATAGTCAACACTTAATAAATGACAGCTGTTATTATTATTAAGTAGTGTTTAAATAGTATTATTCAAGAAAGCCTCCCTTCCTTAGGGCATAGTTTGATTTGCCAGGATTTTCGAAAGTAATTTGACTGTTAGGTTGAAGGTGCCCTGTCCCCTAAATGGATGTTTGATGGGGCGTTTGATTGACACATGACAATGGACAGCTCTGCTCTGCATTAATTACGGGATCTAAATCCTGCTGCAGCTGGATATAAACCATCCATGGACGTTAGGAAGAAATAACAAAGTCATCCTATCTGCAACAGCGTTCTCTCCAGCCATTTTTCTAGACATTTGTTAGAGATGGGAGTCTTCAGAAATGTGTTGGTTTTCCTGGTAAAATCAAACCCTCATTCTCCGAGGTTGGGAGTGGAGGGACCGTCTCCAGGTGGGGAGCTCATATCCTGATCCTGTTTCGAAGAGTTACCTTCTTCTGGGGAGAGACCCCTCATCCCACCACTGACACCACAGAGCCAGAAACCTCCCAGCTCCCAATCCTCCAAAGTTGGCCACAGTTAGAATTAAAAGAGAAGGAGCAGGAGGAAGAATAGCTGATGGGAGAGGGTGCAGCTCAGTGGTGGAGCGTGCTTAGCATGCACGAGGCCCTGGACTCAATCCCCAGTATCTCCACTGAAATACATAAACCTGATTACGTGCCCTCCCCCAGTGAGTAAATAAGTAACAACAACAAAGAATAGCTGACATCTAAGAAGTGCTTACTGTGCGCCAGGCGCTGAGCTCAGCCCACTACACGCAGTGCCTCATTTAACCCTCGCAGCAGCCTTGTGTCATAGTTACTATTCTTATCCCCATTGAACAGATAGGAAAAGTTAAGGCTTCTAGAGGTCAAGTGCCCCACCCAAGGTCACAGAATAAGGAATTAGGAAGCCTGGACTCTGTCCCTGGTGGTCCGTCTGCTAGCCTGCAGAGACGGGGGCGGGGACTGTGTGACTGAACTCGAAGCCCAAGCTCCTCCTCAGTGAGCCTCCCTCAGAAAAAGAGGGGGGACCTGGAGGGGCACAGAGGACGCAGCTCAGGGGAGCTGGAGACACTGAGCGGTGTCCCAGGTTGTTTTTGCAGTAGGTCTGCCCTTACTGTCATCTGCGAAAGCCCTCTTTATTCTTATTGAGATAGATAGAGAAATATGTCCACTCTTATCTATCACAGTCACTTAGGGGCCTTTATATTTTTGTAGGTTTTTTTTTTTAATCTCAAAATTTGCAATGTAGCCAACACATGCCATGGGCTAAGAGATGCTGATGGGAAGCACTTAAAACCCAATGCTTTTTTAATTGAAGTACAGTCAGTTACAATGTGTCAGTTTCTGGTGTACAGCATCATGCTTTTAATGAGGTCTGTTATTTGTGGGCCTTCAGATCAGTTCCCCGTTCAGGCTGGGGGACCTTTCCATGCAGTCAGCAGCCAGCTGGCTGGCTGGGGTCTTAGCGAGCACACAGCTGCAAACACCGCTCTGCACTGTCTCTGGGAAGGGTCTAAAGTGATGCCCACCCACCAGGCTCCAGTGCCAGGAGAAAGTCTGGCCAGATTTTGTGAGGGTGTAGATTTTGCTACATAAAAATGAGATGCCCTTATTAAAAGGAGGGTGGCTGTTTTCTATTTAACTTTCATTCATTCATTCAACAAACACGCCCACTATGCACCACTCTGTGCCCGGTGCCATGCTGGGCACACGGAAGGAGACAGTAAGCAAAAGCCACATGGTCCCCATTTCTCTGGAGCTTGTCATCCAAACCAGGGTTTCTCGACCTCAGTGCTGCTGATTTTTTGAGCCCGCTAACTCTGTTGGGGGGGGAACTCTCCTGTGTATCATGGGGTGTTAAGCAGCAACCTTGTCCTCTACCTATGGGTGCCAGTAGCAATTACGACAACCACAAACGTGTCCAGGCATTGCTAAGTGTCCCGGCAGCGGGGGAGGGTGGGCAAAGTCACCCCTGGTTGAGACCTGCTGGTCTAGAGGGGAGACAGACGGTGAACAAAGAACGGGACAAGTGATGTGTCGTTTCAAAGAGAGTTGCGCTCTGAAGGGGTAGGAACACAGTTATAAGGCAGCAGTTCACAGGGGAGTCAGACTGGATTTAAAATCGACTCTCTTGAGTTATTCAGTAAACTTCCAGTGTTCGGTTATTCTTTGGGTTATTCTTCTGGATGTAGAAATTCGTAATAGAATGCCAAGAGTTTTTATTTCTTCTTCTTTTTTTTTTTTTTTCCAATTTCAGCCTCAAAATGGCCTTTCCAGCCCAGGGCCCATCCTGGCCACTGAGAAGTTAGGGAAAATGGACATGGCTGAGGCTTTAGATCTCAGTGAAAAGCTGGTATGTGCATCCAGCATCATTTCCCTTCCTGTCCAAACCTGCTTCCCCTGCAGGCAGTGTTAACCACGGGATGGTTTAACTAAACATCAACCCTGCAGACAAACTTACTTGTTATAATAGCTCTGCGGGACCTGTCTGCGATCCCAGCATGGGTTGGAAATTGCATAGCTGAATTCCTTGAAAAACTGGGTAGTAAGAATGAATGTTTGTATCTGTTGTCATTTTTTGCCCCTGTTCTCAAAAAGGCATAATGTAAATGGACGCAGGGGGGAAATGAAAGTCGTCCTAAGAGCCCGAGTTGCACTCGTTACAAAGCATGTGTTTGTCCTCTGCAACTGCGGAAAAGGAATGAAACAGAATTAGACGTTTGCCTCCTTAGAGTGGCCACCAGCGGCCTGGGGCCAGGCCTCTTATCTGCGAAACGCTCTCTCGTAGTACATGGATATGAGCACAACGCTGGGGAGTCTGATGAACATCAAAGACATGTCAGGTCACGTGTCCATGAAGTACCTCTCCCCCAAAGAGAGGGAGCGAGTCAACCAGCTTCGACAGAGAGACCTGGATCTGGTGTTTGATAAGATCACCCAGCTCAAGAACCGGCTGGAGAGAAAAGAGGAGCTTTTGAGAGGATATGAAAAAGACATCGAACAGCTCAGGTACCGCCCGGGGTCCCCGCGGCAAAGGCCCAAGCATCTTTTCTCCCAGCTAAACCTCGGGGCGGCAGCAGACCGGTAGGACTGGAACAGGAGGACAGAGGCCTGGGTGGGGGTGGGGGGAGCGGTGACAGGGGATGATGACCGGGGCCTGACAGAGGCAAGTCTCTGGGTGAGAAAGCAGCGGTTGAAGTGCCCTACTCTCTCTGAAGCGATCAGGCGCACCTTTTATGAATCTGCCTGATGTTTCACCACGTGTGTGCTTTGCACGATTCCATCGTGTTTTCCGTGGCATCAGCTCCCCCACCCTCTCTGGGAAATTGGGAGGGGCTGGTAGCATAACCTTCGCCGGCCTCACGCCACACTTACAGAGATGATTAGCTATTTATTCTGTGCTCTTCTCCCCAAATCGTCATCATTCCCTCCCGCTCATAATGAAACCACTAAGTTGGGTGTATCCGGGAGGGTTTTGAGAAGCTCCCAGGTCAGGGACACTGATGGTGAGAGAAAGAACAGACTTGGTCTCTCCCGTGCGCTCAGGCAGAGCAAAGTGTCCGTCCAGATGTACCAGTCACAGGTGGCCAAGCTGGAGGACGACATCTACAAAGAGGCCGAGGAGAAGGCGCTGCTGAAGGAGGCCCTGGAGCGCATGGAGCACCGGCTGCACCAGGAGAAGAGGGTCAACAGGGCCATCAGGCAGCAGAAGGTGAGAGGCCCCTGCTTGGAGCAGAGTTTCTGAAGCTGCCTTCTGGCTCCCTTTAGAAACGGCCAACTGAGGTCCCAGGGGGACCCAGAGGATGCAGAATGCATTGACCGATGCAAAGGAAGGTGGCAGAATAGTTTTAGCATCAGACAGATTCAGGTTTAGACTCTAGCTCTACCATTTACTGTGTGACTTCAGGCAGGTTTCTTAGCCTCCCTGGGAATCATAGTTGAGCTCATCTGTATTCTTTTTAACTTTTGATCGTTCGTGTATTTTGTTCTTGCTATTCAGATAACTATTTTTCCTACCAGTATTATTGAGCTATAATTGACATACAGCAGTGTATTAAATTTAAGGTCTACAGCATAATGATTTGACTTACAGACCTCATGAAATGAGTACCACAATAAGTTTAGTGAATATCCTGAATTTCTTGAAGTGGTAGCTATTGTTCTTAATTTTATTGTTCTGCCAGGTGCTGGGGATACACAGATGAATAAGCTCTCTGAGAGTAAAGATTTGGGTTTGCTCTTCTGAGTGCCCAGAACGTAGTAGACACCCATTAAATATTTGGTGGATGGATGGATGAATGGATGGATGGACAGGTGGATGGATGGATGGATGGATGTCCTTGAAGAACATATCCTTTAGTGCAGAACATATGGGTAAAGAGCTGACTTCTGACTGATTTAATGGGGTAAGGGCTCTATCCAGATCCAGAGGAGGGCACTCAGCCAAGCCTAGAGAATTTAGGGAGTGGTTTCCAAGTGGCGATACCTGCACTGAGTTGCAAAGGAGAATTGGTGGATTTGCCCACCAAAGGGATGAACAGGTGTACACTCCAGGCTGTAGGAGCCACAGAGGACAAGCATGAGGATGAGGGATTTGCTTCCTGGCATGAACTTGGTGGGACCATTGGCTTGAGAAACCAAGACTGAGACTCAGGCTGGCGATCCACCAAAAGAAGCCACCTCCTCCCCTCACCCTGGTATCTCATCTGTCACAAGGCACAGGAGTCAGCCAGTCCCAGGCTCAGATCCCTCCACTAAGTAACTGTGTGACCTTGTGCAAATCCATCCCCCTCTCCGAGCCTTGCCTTCCTCATTAGTAAATGGGCATAACAGCACCTGCCGTGCAGGGCTGCTGTGAGGACTGCATACAGTGCAGGTATCCCTTGCTGTCCAAGCTCTCTCTGTCTGAGCTCAGGAGCCAAATGGTTTCAGGCGCTGAGGGGTACTCGCCCTGCCTGTAAAGCACACAGCCCAGGGCCTGGTGCTCGACAGACAGGTGGATGCTGCTCTTCTGCCTGTGGTTGGCCGCCCACATGCATGGTCTGGGAGGTGAGCGCTGCCTCGGACCCAGTAGAACCTGCTGCCGAATGCTCCCCCCACGGCGAGGCAGGCATGAGCGGCCCCCAGCAGCAGCTTCGGAAGCTCGCCGCAGCCCCGCGCTGCACCAGGGGTGGCAGGGGGCTCCCCGGGCTTCTTCGCAGTTTACGTCCATCGCCGCTCACTCCTGCAGGCAGCGGCGTGTCTCTAGGCCCACTGGCCACCGCAACAGCGACTCCTAAATAGTCACTCTCCCTCGTCCTTAACTCCTGCCTGAGGTAGAGCAGGTCTCAAGGCGGGGATCAGGCGAACAGAGGAGACCAGCGCAGGCCCCGTCTCCTGGTGCCTGCCATCAGCAGGCCCTGGGCCCCACCCGTGCTCTGCCACCATGATCAGGGTTATCAGTGCCTCTGCTAGCCCTGCCTGGTTATTGTGACGATTCCCATTTTACAGATGAGGAAACTGAGCCTCCGAGAGTTGAGACTTGCCCATGTTCACAGAGTAGCAGGTAGACCGAGCCCAGACCTTGCCCCAGATCTCTCAGACCCTGGTTCCTGCACTCTCTGCGGGCCTAGCCTCAGTCTCCTCCTTGTAACTGTTAGTCTTTCTGATTTGGGGTGGTGTGTTTGTGCATGTGTGTATGTGTACGTGCTGTGTGTGTGCGCGTGGGTGTGTGTTACCTGCATGAGCTCTAAGGAAGCCAAGCCATAGAAGGTCATAGAAGGACGCCCTCCTCTTCAACCAGGAAGTGATGGTCAGATGAGTTGCTTGCAGAAGCGTGCCCTCCACCCTGCAAACCTTCCAGGC